TCTGGAATGTTCTGTGTCTTGATTTTCTGGTGCTTGTTTCCATTTCTTAGATTAGATTCTACTGTGATAAGGCCTCAAAATCTAGTGTCTTGCAGACAGACACTGGGGACAGATCAAAAGTGACAGTTTAACACATATACTCGTGTATGTGTGTGTGTATATATATGTATGTGTATATATATGTATGTGTATATATATATGAGTTATACACTTACAGTTTGTGTTACATTTTAATAAAAAATAAATCTTAGAAATTACTACGTATTTGTTCCTTATCTTTTATCAATATACTTCCTCTAGTATTCATATAGAGAACCAGGGTTAAATTCATGTTTACAAAGGTAAACAGCAGAATGAATTGATATCCTAGACGTTGAAAAGAACAAGTGCGAGATTAAAATTTCAAACAGTTTTGAAAACGATTACATTGTGTACTCTTGCAATCTCTCTCTCTTTCTTGATATCAGACCATTGCTTTTGCTGTTTTCTCTGCTTAAAATGTTCTTACTTCTCCCGTGACTTGGCTACTCATCCTTTAGGTCTCATTGCTTGCTCTGGAAAACCTTTCCAGAACCCCAAGTCTGAGTTAGGTACCCCCTCTTATGTACTCTTATAACACCCTTGGCTTACTACTGTCATCCACTTGACATGCCAAAATGCAATTCGCTTCTTAATTTATTTGTCTCCCAATTAAGCTGTCAGTTCCTGAAGGGAAACGTGAGTTACTGGAGGTTGTGTCTTCAACACTTGTCACTGTGGCCGGCAGGTGCTCACAAATCATTTGTTGAATTATTATTTGGATGTAGAACAAGCTGGACCTATCAATTCTCAGCAGAAAGATTATGTATAATACCTGATTCCAGCAGTATAGCACAATGGACTTAGAGGCAACCGGGAACAGTTTTTCACTGCCTATGTCACCGTTGTAGTGATGAGAGTTTCTCACTTCTGGGGTTTATTCAACACACATCACATCTCATTATAATCTTAAGGAAAGGAAACTGAAAACTGTGTTAAAGAAATCTCATCACTAGAAGGTGTTGAAGAAGACTCCTAAATAAATTTGATTTCCAGAACCAAATGCCAAAAGCTTAGAAAGAGTGCAAATGAATTTGATGGATTGTGTTTTTGCTCCCAATTATTAGTGCCCTTCTTGTAAGTGTTTTATATATCCTCACCATTGACATATGACTTGCAGGACTTCCACTTGGAAGAATTATATTTACTTGTCCCATTGAAGTCAGCTTGGCTAGTGATTTACTTTGGCCAACAGAATGTGAGAGAAAAAAAAAATAACATGTACCATGTCTGAGAGGTACATTAAAAGCCATTCCTTATTTGGCCTTTTCTCCCCTCCTTTGCAACAAAAACAGTATGTTCCAAATGGGGGTGGCTCCTTCAGTCTGGATCCTGGAACTTGTCACCATCATAGACCAAATGTAATGTGAGCAGGAAATGAACCAGTGTTGCTGCAAGACACTGAGATTTTGAGGCCTTAGCACAGTAGAACCTAATCTAAGAAATGGAAGCAAGCATCAGGTGGAGCACTTACCAGACTCAAGAAAGCCTGTTTGTGCCAAGAGACAGTCAGTCCCTAGCTCTCATGGATTGTCACAATGTAGAACTGCATGCTAACTCTTGCCAGATCTTCCTGTAAGAGGAGCTGAATTTTTAATTAAATCCCTTCCTGATTTTTAATTAAAATATACCTTCTTTTTAAATGTTGGCAGCTAAATCCATATGTTTAAAAAACACTAAGGGCAAATCAAATCAAGTAATACAGTCATAATCTCTTTTCCATTCTATAGTTTGCTTATCTATAAAATAAGAATGCTAATATCTGTTCTGCCTCTCTAACAGGGTTATTTTGAGTGTTAGATTTATCTTACCTTGTAGTTTTTTTAAAATTTTTTTTAAATTTTGAAATGATAAACATCACAAAAGTCAGGGAAAGCTCTTAGAGTACTCTGGCAAAGCAGGCTGGACAATTCTAAGGTGACGAGGTACCAAGGAGGCTAGTAGTACAAACGACTGTGCCTCAACTTTCCTGCCCGTCTCCTGTTCTCCACCCTTCCATGCAAAACATGAAAAGCAGACTTTTCCACTGGCAGATAAGACTAGCATGCAACCATCTTCAGGAATAATCTAAGCCTGAAATAGTTGAGAGACAAGTAATTCACAAAAATGAATGGTTCTCTGTCATGAAACAAGTAAGGTACAAGTTTGTGTTGATCAATCCAAGTTGACTTTCCTAGGTTATGACACTGAACTTCATCCTTCTTAACTACGTCATAGAAATGACTCAGGCAATTAAAAAATAGCCTAAACACACACAATATCAATAAAATTTGATAAATTTTTTTTGTTTGATCAAAGGTCTCAGAAGTACTTGTTTTATTTTATGCAAAGAGTCAAAATTCTTAAAAGATGTGGAGTTGTCTAATAATTTGCATGATATAGCTCGTAGGTAGAATTTTATGATAACTCTGAATGTGTATTTAAGTAAAAATATTTTTGAAAAATTTAAAGAAGATTGGGGAATGCCTGAAAGAGAAAAATGTAATCTGATGTATATTTTTTTCTGTTGCATTTTCAGGGCTCACATTTTTCCTTCCATTATGCAGATATGCCACTAGAGGGCACTGTAAGGCGCTGCTTCCTTACACCCTGTGTGAGATGCTGAATCTGACCTCTAATTTCCCCATTGAGAACCCTCCAGGTTTTGCCTTACTTTAATAGGGCCAGGTACTCTGTAGGGCATTGTGCCAGGTGCTGGAAACAGAACAACAGAGACAGGACGCACAAATACAAAGGAACGGATTGTTCAGAACAACCTGAGACAAGTGTTAATAAACAGGCATGCGTCAGCACTATAGGAATTTAGAGAATAGCGTTATAACGATGTGATTCTGCAGAAAGGGAAAGTGGGAGGTCATAGAAGAGAAAGCACTCTCAGACTCTGACCAGTTCAGGCTGAAGAAGGTATGAAAGCTGAATTTTAGGCTGAGTTTCCTTTTCCTTTTCCCCTTCCTGCCTTAGCAAGGGACCTCCATACTGGAGGGAACCTGAAGTTAGGATATGACGTAGGTTACCCACAGTATATATAAAAAATGATCAGCCTATACACCCCAGGACTGCCATGGGAAGTTGCTTTCCTCTGCACTGCAATATTCATTTATCATTTATTGATTTGAGAAATATTTATTGCCAAGTGTGCCCCAAGCACTCATTGGTAAATAAGATAGCCATAGTCAGAGTGTGCCCACTTAAAAACTGTAGTCCAGTGGAGACACAATGATTGCAATGTAGTGTAACAAGTCCTATGATAAGGGAAGAAGACGGAACCATACACATATAGAGCAGGGGCACCTGACAAAGACAGGAAGTCAGGGAAGGCTTCGTGGAGGAAGTACTATTCAATTGAGACCCTAAGCAGATTGGAGGCCACCTAAAAAGGAGTGGGTGTAATCCAGGTGAAGGTAGCACAACCCAGAGGAAAAAAGAATCAAATAGGATTTTATTTGTGTATATACAATTTTGAGATCTTGCTGTTTTCCACTTATCCATTTTATCCTGAGTTTCCATATCTTTAACTATTTTTGAAAATATGGTTTTAATAGTTGCTCCAATAGTCCATTGTAAGAATGGTGACATTTATTTACCCATTTTTAGAAATAGCATTTTTAAGACTCATGCTAATTGCTCTCCCTTTGTCAATATAAAACCATATGAAATAATTCTTACTGCTTATATGAATATCAACAACATTCCTTTAGTTGGCTGACTCTTGAGCACAATTCCTGCAACACAACCTGATATCCAGCCATAACAAACACTGAATTTATGGAAGGTATTAATTTATTGCCTATTGTTTAATTTTAACTTTTTTATAAAATGTGCTGCAGTTGTTTTACATGAATTGGCAGGGCTTTGAGAGGCACTCTGGATCCTTGTCCTGCTTCTCAGATTACCCCCTCTGTGTCATTCATTGTTCCGTCTCCCCCAAGTCTGCATCTCCGCTCCCTCCATCCACTAGTCCCTCAACCTCAGGCTCCTCCCTCTCTGGGATGCTCTGCAGATACTTATCTCCATCTTTTCTCCAGTAAATAATTTTTTTTTTCTCTGTGGCCCAGTTTCCTGAAGCTGCAAACATTAACTTCCTAAATGATTTTTTTAAACCACACTTTGGGTAAATATGTATGATATACGTGGCAAATTGCTCACATAGCAAATTGATTTTCTGGGTCAGGCAGGAAAGACTTTCACAAAAATCTTACAGGAAGTAAGATGATTTAGATGGAGTATCCAATCACCTTCTGTTGAACCATTTCAGACCTAATTTATATTTTTTGTTCTGCCTCCCTTTAAAATTGAGCTTCCTCACATTTCCATAGCCTTCACTTTAACCTACTTTAATGATAGGGTTTTTGGTGTGTTGGGTTTTGTTTCTGACTGTTTGCATTTATTGTCTTGGTATTCACTTATGCTTACTTAGCAGGGTATAGTTCAGAGAGAAACAGCTCACTGGCTTCATAGCTGTGCAGGCACTAGCTCTTCAGTTCAAATTCTATTTTCAATGAAAGATTTGTTGCATCTCACATTTCTTACATTGCTGTGTGACTCACCATGAGTTTGGGAGTCTTTCAGAATCTCAGAACACTCAAATGATTTAAATTTCTCAAACATGTTCATTTCACATATAGGAAGTCACTTTTGTTTGGATCACAGGGTCTCGACATTAGAAATGAGAAGCTCCATGGCTCCACAACAGCTGCCTCAGCCTGGCACGTGCCCTGGCCTCAGAGATTCACAGTCCAGTTCTTTGTCCAGTTGGGTGGCACCTGTCTACCACCTTGCCATGCCCACTTAACTTATGCAAAGTTAATATCACAAGTAGAAGCCTGTTCCTTACAGTGAAAATTTTACTTGCCACTTTCATAGCCCCAAGATATCCGTGTATCTTTATTAACAGGCGCTTAACAACTTGCGTCATTTAAAATGCCTCCCCTGCCTATCAGCTGATGATGGCCGCAGGAAGGTGGGCCTGGAAGATAACAGCTAGCAGGCTAAGGCCAGACTGACACTTGCAGTTGTCTTTGGTAGTTTTTTTGCACTAACTTTAGGAGCCAGCTCATGATCTCAGGATGTATGGAAAAATAATCTTTGTATTACTATTGTCAGGTAAGTGACTTTATTTCATCTTGATTCCGTTATATTGGGTATAAGATCATAGAATAAAAATATAAACTACCCTATTTTAGTTCTATCTTATTTAAATGAATAAATGAGTAGTATTTCCTATTCCAGTCTGGTGGATGGATTTTACTGGAACTCAGCTACCAATGTGGGGAAAATGACACAAGGGAGCCCGGTATTTATGGCTGAATCCAGTTTTCTAGTATGAGAAGTTTACTTCAATTCTAAGTCTAGCTAGAATTAAAATAATTTTATCAAATGCTTTGAGAAATACCTCTGTGTGAATAAATGTATTGCTTTGTTTGAGTTATAAGGAGATTCATTTCCAAACTAAAGAGTTATTAACGAAGGTGTTGGTAGCTATATGGCATTTAGTTTTCAAAAGGTGTAATTTCCTCCTTCTGCCCAATGGTGAGAAGCCAAAAGCATGAACGCTGAAACCATGGGGAATTGTTCGCTTCTCTGTGGGTCCATTACTAAAGTGTCACATAGGAAGAAAAACAAAAACAAACACAATTCTTACTGTCTTAGGTGTCACGTGAGTTTTGGGAGAAATCTAAATCCATTAAAATAAATAAATATCCTAGGGTTATTATTAAATTGTATTAATTCAATAATTTGAATTTAATTTAAATTTAATTATTAATTTAGTGTATTAAATTAACATGATTTGGGCATCTTTCTGAGAATATTATAGTTAAACCTCCTCTCAAGTGCAGTGTTTATGTGTTAGCAATACTAGTGCCCACCCAGCGCACAGGGGTCAGGCAGTTGCTTGAAACATTCTGAGTCTATTAGACATTGTTGTAACCCAAGTTAGAGCAAGCATCAAGGATCTACTGAGCACTCTGTAGCATACAGGGTAGAGAGGTCGGCATTTTCTCAGATACCCCAGGGGAGGATAAAATAGTGTAATAGTTAAGAGCACAGGCATGAGGAACAGACAGAACTGGGTTCAAATGTAGTTTTACTTCTCAAGGCTGGGGAACATTAAGGCAAATGATAAGCCCTCATTTTTATGTGTCCTTATCTGTAAAATGCAGGCAATGCTGGTACTTGCCTCATAGTAATAAAGACTAAACAAAGTATTTAATGGAATACACTTACTGATGCCTGAAACAAAGTAAAATGTTAAGCTTACTGTGCATTTTCTATGATTAGAATTAACTATCATGATTAGTAAGTATTAATAATATAAATGTTATTAAAATAAGTAGTAGCTACCGATAATTATAGACTAGGGAACAAACCTACGTATGTGATTGGTGATTTTTGAAAAGTCAGAGAGAAAAGAAAATTACAGAAAAAAAAAAAACAGAAAACAAACATAGTTACTCTAATTTTTTAATCAGAAAAGTATGAAAATATTTAGTTTGAAGAAAAGAAAACAAGTGAAAGGGATGTAGTATAATATTTGTATATATATTCATATATTTATAGTGCTATTACACTAGCACTATAAAAGAGATGTATTCTTTGTGTTGCTCCATGGGGCAAACCATACTGGGTGTAACTCAAACAAAATTGAACACTGCATACTCTACTGGGGGTGTGCCCAGTATTTGGGAAAATTCTGTGTGACTTACAAGTGCCCTAAATTTGGAAAGGGTTCCTGGCAAAGAAATGATTTTTTTTTTTTTTTTTAAATTTCTACAACTACACAAGCAGATAGTGTGAATTAAAGCCTTAAATGGCGCTTGATGAAGAGGTCATTGGGGCAAGATGACCCTGAAGGCTACAGTGGTCTCCAGTACCCAAGCTGTTACCATCTTCGTAGCGTCGGAAACCCTCCAAGGAAACTCTCTTGATGTGGCTACTTTATAGTATAACAGAAAGGTCTAAGAGCAAGTTTTTCCCCCATACTCATTAGCTGAAGAGAAAACATACATGGTGAAGTCTTTTTCCTTTTTTCTTTTTTCTTTCTTTTTTTTTTTTGCTATGAAAAAAAGATGATTGCCTTGCTTTCTCTAGGAATCTTAAGAATAAAGCCGATATTTCTAATTCTAAACTTACCAGAGATCGTCTTCCAAATGGAGAATCCATTTTTTCTAATATGACTTGATTCCCAGTCCCTGAATTCCTGCACTCATTTGATGATTCAGTCATTACATGTCTGATTGTGAACCAGGCACTGAGCCCACAGCAGGAAGACAAATGGGCTCCGATGGAGGATACTTGGAGGGTGGGCACAGTGGGTGGTGGGAGGGAACACAGATAATAAACAGAACAACAACTATCTTATTAAAATAAGATAAAAACAGTCAAAAATAACACAAAGCATGTAAAACCAGGTAAGATGATAAACATGAATGCCGAAAACTGCTTAAGAAAAGGGTAGCAGGGAATTATTTTCTGAGTAGATGATATTTATGCTAAATGTAGAACAAGGAGACAGAGCTAATCCCGAAAATTCTGGGAAAAGAGGACAGATGGCAGAGGGAAGAACAAGAGCAAAAATTCTGAGACAGGAGGTAAGTTAGTGTTTTCAAGGAAAAGCGGGAGCTTTTATCTGAAAATCAGATTCTGAAGCTAAGAACCAATTTGAAAATACAGTACTATATCACTTCAACTAGGAAATTATGGCATAAACCAGGAGTCTCCAAAAGTTTTGGTTTTACTTAAAAATTCTTACAAAATTTGCATTCTAGATCATAATATACTAATTTAATGGGAGGAAACAGAGGGACTGGTATGATATCATCATGCCTACTTTATTCATCCGTGTATCTCCAGAATCTAGCACAGTTCCCGATTAGGACTTATAGTAGCATATTGGTTGAGTAAGCAAGGAAGGAAGTGAAGGGAGGGAGAAGGAGAGATAAGCAGAGAGGGAGAGGAAGGAAGGAAGAAAAGAAGGAAAAAAAGAAGGAAGGAAAGAAGAGAGGAGGGAGAGAGAGAGGGAGGCAAGAAGGGAGAAGAGAGAAGGGAAGGGAAGAGACAGAAGGAAGGGGAGGAGGAAAGGAAAGAGGAAATACTTGTTTTCATCTGGTTAGACACAGTGAGTGCTCTGCACAGACAGATCATTATTACCCTGTGCATCTGATTCACACCCCTGCAGGTACATCAGTCTTTAGACTTTTTAAACCACATGTTAAGTGAAGAAACAAGGTGTCTCTCTTTTTTTTTTTCAGGGATCCAAGAAGAGAGCCTTGCTAGCCTGTCTATTTAATTGGTACAGGAAAGAGTTACAGGAACTGTATGCCAGGGAATACATGACTATAAATTCTTTAAAAGAAAAACCTGTGTCTTCACTTATGTGTCCCACACATTGTCAGCCACATAGTAGACAGTCAATATCAACTACTCAAAATGACAAATGGCAAATGACCAGAATTTTGTGGCAGACTAGCTTGGCCATGAAAAATCATTTAACACTTGTGGACCTCAGTTTTCTTATGCCTATTTTATAAAGCACCGAGTAGATGGTATCTGCAATCATTTTTCATCTGTAAAACCCCAACAAATCCCCAAAATTCAGCCTGAGATGAGCTGGACTAGTTGCCAAACCTATAAATATCTTTTGTATGGTGTGAAATAGGGTTTTTAGAAAGAAACGGACACCCACTGTGAACTCCTTTGCAGACAAGGTCTGAATAGAGGAGAAAGTAGGGATGGCATCTCAAACTTAATTTACAGTTATTTTACATTAGGAAATTTAGCTTAACATTCTCGTGATAAATTTCTTTTCACCTTGGTTTCTAGAAGATTATTCAAAACAGCTGTGAGCCTATTTGAGAAGTATATTTTTGAGGAATTTCCCCCAAGTTATCTTTGTAGGTTATATTTTGACACTAACTGCAAATGTAATATCTTTTACCCAAAAAAAACCCCAAACCCACTTACATGGTGCTGACAAAATCAGGCTGGACCTGCCTTTTTACATCATAGATTTCCAGCCATTATTATCATATCCACATCTTTAGTAAGTACCTATCTGTGTAGTTTTCTGTGATAAATGAGCTAGACTAAAACTAAGCAAAAATGTTGAAAAAAAAATTTCGGGTTTATCTCTGGGTGTTGGGATTGTAAGGTATTTTTTTCTTATTTTAAATACTTTCTAAATTTTCTGCAAAGAGAACCATACAATATAATCAGGACAAGTTTCAATATGTTTTAAAAAGTAAACTGAACAAACACAATCTCTGCTTTCTAAGGAGTCTTTAATTTTTGTACATTGGTCATAGACTATGACCTATACAATTTATTTGGGATATTTATTAAAATTTCTGTCTAACCCAAATTATTATATGTAAGCACTAGAAAAATGATGTCATCTTTGTTTGTAGTGTACAAAGTTCTATAAATAGCTATTTAATCAACTTTGGTATTTCCATCCCTAGATTTATATACAGCAGATTGGGTTCCATACAGAGGCAAGTTCTGAATAATAATAACCAACACTGATATAGCACTTACTTTGTGCCATGCACTGTTCTAAGTAATGTACATACACTTAATTTTTAAAACTGTAGTAAAATACACATAACATAAATTTACCATTTGAACCATTTTGAAGTGTACAATTGGTAGCATTTAATACATTCAAAATGATGCACACCCATCACCATTATCTGGTTCCAGAACATTTTCATCACTCCAAAAGGAAACCTCTTACCCATTAGCAGCCACTTCTAATTCCTCCAGCCCTTAGAAACCACTAATTTGTTTTCTACCTCTAGAGATTTACCAATTTTAGATATTTCATATAAATGGAATCATATAATAGGTAACCTTTTGTGTATGGCTTCTTTCACTTAAAATAATGTGTTTAAAGTTCATCCATATTGTAGCGTGTATCAGTATTTCATTCCTTTTATAATGAATATTATTCCATTGTGTTGGTATATCACATTTTGTTTATCCATCCCTCATTTGATTAAAATTTGGGTTGGTATATCACATTTTGCTTATCCATCCATCATTTGATTAAAATTTGTGTTATTTCCACCTTTTGGCTATTGTGAATAGTGCTGCTGTAAATATTC